AAGCTAGGTAACAAGCAGCACTGGTTGTCAATTTAGATCCCTCTTTCCATCTTAGCATGCCTTTTGAATATTAAAAAATCTGGAGCTCATAGTGAATTGCAGTTGACGCTTCTACCGAGAAACTTTAGGGAAAATGGACACAAGGCACAATTTTACCTAAAGAGGGCCTGGATTTTTCGATTTAGTGCCAAGAAGAAGTATTCAAATCTTCAAATCATTAGTTTGTTTACCTTCATTCATATCAAGGAATATCATATTTAACCAACGGAGCAACTACCTTTGCTTGATCCTTTATTGATTTTATGACATGAAGGTCTTTAAAATACCTAAAGCGTTTCTACCACCGAGCGGATTTTACCTGAAATTTCCTATTGAGATTACTATTGAGGGGGGTGTGACACCCCCACAATCCCCATGTCGCGACGCCCCTGCCTAAAAGGTATTGAAAAAAGTCTTCCGGCATCGGATCTTCTAGGAGGAGGTAGCGTAAGATTCCTCTTTTGAACCCCAACCTCACCATCAAGGGAGGGAAATATGGATAATATATCAATTTTAATCCGAATCGCCAACTCAAGTCAACTTTTGGGAACTTAAAATACAAAAGCGATGACATGAAATTACGCGGGCTGTGAGAATCTAAAAATAAAGTCAAGTTTTGGCTCTATACTGTAACTCCGTTAGCAAAAGGGTTGAAAACGGTAGCATTTCGTGGAAAAAGCAGCTTATCCAGATTATGGACGATTCATTTAATTAATGTGCATATGAAATTAACGCGTGACAATTAATGCAGCATAAAATTAACGCATCACAAAATTAACGCATCACGAAATTAACGCATCACAAAATTAACGCGGATAAAGGGCGAACCGCTTTAATTTCATGACTCGTTAATTTCTTGTAATAAGCTAGCTCAAATACATACACCAAAATATTTTCTCAAGACATGGTATCGTTCCCTGGCACATTTTAATACTGGTATACTTGATTCCACTTCGGTTGCCCTTGTCAAAATAAATAAAGTAGCCTGGCGTGAGTCATTTCTTTGAGGTGAAAATGGAACTTGATGAAATTTTCTTATCCATCTGGTTGAAGAAAGTGAGTATGTGCAGATCGTTTTCAAAAAGGAATATTAAGGAAAAAACTGTGGTATTTGACCATTCTGCTTCTGCGTTGAAGGTTACTTTGAAGGGCAAAGTGTTAAAAAGAAAGTTTCAACATACTTTCCCAGGTTGTATTCCAAGAAAAATTTACAACACCACAAACTCAAATGCTGGTAAGTTTTTTTTATTAAGTTTTATAATTCTACTCCTTACAAGAGCAACTGCAACAACGGGGGATGTGAGAAACACTAGTTTAAAAGAAGTCTTGAATAAGGAAAATTTCAGCGGAGCGAGCAGAAAAGTTTTGCGACAACACCCTTCAGATTAGCTTGAAATGCATCTCGGGAAGTTTCTTGCAGTCATTTCTTGCAATCGCTAAAAACGCTTTACTATTTCTACTATTTCTAGGCATACTTTTGCTACACTTGATCAATTCCATTCTAAAAATGGAATTCATCGCAAAACATCCAGACCTATCATTAGAGAAACTAAATATGTATCGGCGAAAAATCAATTCCCTTTTGGCAAATAATTGTTCTTAGTGTAGAGTAGGGACACATGTATTATTGTAGTGTGTTGTTTAGAAACGTCATGCGATGAGCACTGCATTTGGAAAACTAAGATGGCTACTAGCTACGCTCGTTTCAATTACGCTGAGATTTACTTCGGCTACAAAAACGGTGTAGTAAGTTATAAGTCTGAAATGATCATTCGCCTGTATCTTTGATATTTCCATAGACTGGCGGCAACTTATACGTTAGCTTGCTTCTTATAGCAAGTTATTTACAGTACACTATTTTTTGTAAGAACCGGTAAATTTAAGTTCAGGCGGACTGTTCTCAATTTTTTCGAACAAACCTGAGACTTGTTTGTTCTTAATTTGTTCTTAAATTAACAGGGTGTAAGCAGTGCGAGTGTAGCATTTCGCTCAGGGAGGTGTTAAGGCCTTCATTTTCCGACAAGTTCGAATGCTCGCTGAAAAAGCATCCAAACATGGCTAGAAACCCTCGATTTGAGATAAAAAGTTGTTCAAAATTGGATTTTTACAGTAGCTCTGCCTCAGCTTGTTCTCAATTTGTTCATAACTTTTGACCCATTTTGAGGCTCGTGTTCTTACAAAATTGTCCTTGTAAAAAGGAGTGAATTGCAAAAAGGAAGTTAACGATGGCCAACCATGACCAAAAAAATGAATTACAGGTTGAAGTTTGATCAGACTTCCTAATGAATGCCAAAGTTTCCGCTGCATTACCAACTTTCTTGAAGTTTGCAGACAGTTGGACGCCCCTCCCCCTCTCGCCCCCCATCGGCACATCCCTGTAGAGAAGAAAAGTTGTAGAAGATCAGAATGCTGCCTGCATTATTTCAAGTGAGCTTTACAGAATATTTCTATGAGCGTGTTGGTTCGCATTTGACATCTTGGAACGCAACATCCGTCCATTTCAAAACCCATCCGAACGATTCCTACATTCTGCTAAAATTATTCCAGATGGTCGAGTTTTTACAACACCACAAAATTGAAATCACAACACCACAAAACAAATATATAATACCACAAAAGGGTAACAAAACCTCGTTAGAATAACCCTTGAATTCTTCTTTGGAAATGAAAGGTCTTGCCGTACTTTCTTGATCATTTGCTAGATTTTTAAAATGGGAGCCTAGACGTCCATATAATTGTTACCATAACATAAGATATCATAGCAGGAAACCATGTAGTAGCACTGCATGATATCATAAAACAAAATATCATGAAACCTTGATAATTACAGACGAGGAAATGACGGATAATGACTGTTTGATGGACAAGGGTAAACGATAACATTTTAGAACTTTAAATATACTCTTGCATGAAAGAAATTCATTGTTATGTCAATGTTGTATTTCATTCAATTCAATATTATATTGCATACTTGTTAAAACTTGTTTTTAGACCGCAGTCCCGTCTGCATTACCATGGCTAGTCAGATACGTCAGCTACTACGTCAGCAAATAGAGCTACTTTCAAGTTAGGGGTATGTAGCATAGTTGAGATCTCAACCAAATTTTGAAAGAGCCATTTTTCGTTTTGTTTTTGCTTTTGAGCCGAGCAAATTTTCGGACAAGTGCCTCACTCGATGACATGCTACATCGCCTAATTTCATTTCATTTTGAAATAATTGAACGAGGGCTACACATCAGCAATGCTACACTTCAGCAAAGCTACCAAATGTGAAAACATGCTGATAGGCCATAAAAGACAAAAAGAGCACATAACAATTGGCTCTTCTTTAAAAATTAACCAAGAATATGTAAAAGGGGTTAATAAAACGAAATGTTTAAGGTATGACAATAGACGAAAATCCAAAGTGGAACTCCTGATACAAAGTATTGAAAGGATTATTAAAAAAGGGGGGGGGGGTATCAGTTCATAAAGAAAATTGCATGTAATCATTCCTCAATCGAAGTTAGGTGCAGTTTATAGAGCACTAATTGAAAGCCACATTAGATAAGGTAACATCATTTTGGACAATCTATCAGAAACAAAATTAAATCAATTACAAAACCTGCAAAGTATATCAAAAGTACTGATTAAATATGCAAAGTGCAAGGATAAGTAGATTTGTAATCGGCTTTCTATCAAAGATTCAATTGACTGCGATAAGCAAGACTGCGATAAGCAAGTTACAGCATTCAAAATTATTTATCGTTTCTACCCCGAAAAACGCTTTGGTCAATTCACAATCAGGTCTCAGGTATCAAGCCAACCCAACCGCAATGTCGTAACGTCGCTGTTGCCCTGTCGTTATTTGAAGAGTGAAAGTCGAAAACGCCACAAGTCACCAAGGCTAATGCAAGCAAGCTATAGGTCGTGAGTTACTTATTATCTTCACTCTTCTTAGCGTATTTGCATTGTTACATTGAATTTTCCTCACACGGTGCACCAACATTAGACTACACCTCAGAGTCCAGAAAAGTTGTTAACCTTCCTCCAGACAAAAACATCCCAGAAGACAAACCTTCCTCACAAAACAATAGAAAGTGGGCGTGGCTTTGGTGTGTCATATGAGCTTCTATTATTTTCCTGACTCTGCTACACCTCTTAATCTAACAGTGTGCGAGTCAACGAAATACTTCATAAACGATCAGTCTCAAATATTCAATGCAAAAATGCAATTATTCAATCTAAGGAGAATAATAACAAGTAACTCACGACCTCCAGCTTGCTTGCTTTAGCGTTGGTGAATTGTGGCGTTTTCGACTTTAACTCTTCAAATAGTGCGCAAGTGCGCAAGCGCGTTGAGTGCATGGTTGATGCGGTGCCTTCTTCTGTTAGGCCGATCAGCATGATTCATGACCTCGTGACAAAAATCTGATTGCTCAAACAAAAGTAGTCGCTTCTTTATCTCGAAAATCAATTTTTTCATTCATTAATAGTCATTGTTATCAAAGACAGCTTGTAACAATTAAGGCCCTTCGGTATGAGGCTTCAGGCGTAGATTCAACGAAATGAAACAGACATTGCTGTATGCAACTGTAATCTACTGAATCATGCGATCAATACTGTAGAGGTTTGATCATTGCGATTCTTACAATAACAAGATGGGACGCTGATAATGGCACGCTAAAATTCTACAGAAATAGCAAATTGCTGCCAACAGTTAAAAAGCTATGGAATGGAAACTTTGAGGCATGTAAAGAGAAAGACGGTTTGGAGAATTTGACGCTGAGAGAACGCATTAAAGGGGGGAATGCAAAGAAAAACATTAATAAAATATTTGCACACATAGACTGCTGATATGATCGCCCTCGTCGTGAATGGACATGAAAAGTTAGAGAGAATCCTTTAGCAAAAGCTGGATTACGAAGAGTCCTACGTGTAAGAAAGTGTGATTATAAACCCTATTTATCCAACCTTCCTTCTTTTACAAGCCATAGTGACCTTGTTCAAATATTCCGTTCATCTTTGGGTTTAAGCGTAGTTAAAACTGGTTGGTCATAGGATACGTTTCAACCAAAACAAATTTTTAAGAAATCTTTTAAGGTGGCAGAAAAATACATTTCAAGATCTTCTGTAGAAAGTATGGGCTTGAAATTTAAATTCATTGCTCTGAGGAGAGGAAAACTGCCTACATAATAGATATCAAATCAGAGTTTGCAAAGATCGCTGCAAGCTATCATCGACAAGAGTGGGTTACGAAGCTGCGAAGGAGCCAAAGCAGCTGCCAATTGCCGTTTCTTGTCGGCTGATAGAATGCAGCTACAGCATGGGAAAATTTCGAAGCAGGTGTTGAGGAAGATCATCAAGCAAAGTCGCAAAGAGATTGCACGACTGGCCTATTGTGACGAAGCATTTCATTTCAAATTCATCGTCTGTAGTTTCTGTTTTTTGTGAGTTGATTTCTGATTACGTTGTCCGAAGAAGCTCAACATATAGTTAGCCTATTCTTATAATCTGACATTCATCTTTATTGCATCATTTCTATTTGATAATTTACTACAGTTGACATCCACAATTCGTCAAGTGTTTGTTGTCGTTGAGAGCGTTGCGAAGAAGACACCCATGAATTCAGTTATATATAACCTGTCTCGAAGCTGCCTTTGAGCGAATCATCGTAGCGTGATCTCTCTGTTTATATTTTAAATGTAAAATTTTGTTGCAATCAAATGTAGCAAATGCGTAGGCCCTGCATGCTCTTTGCGAATTTCACCGCCGGCCAGCAGGTATTCGGTTATTTCTTCCAAGTGTTGCATCAATATTTCTGATTTGTACAAGGATTCTCTTCTTTTTGTTTTCTTTCAATGAAACTAAAAAGGTAATTGGCGAAGGTTGACAACCTGCCATGTTTTTTTCTCAAAGATTTCGGAGTAGTCGTCTGAAATCAACAGTGTTTGTTGATTATACTAGTTGTGCTTCGTCTAGCTGTTTTCTCGATAACAAACTTTCTATCAGGAGTAAAAGACTTTTGGTAATGTTGTCTTGTCCTGTTTGCATCGTGCTCACATGTAGAAGTTACAAGGTGATCGTTTTTCAACTGATAGCTGATAGCTTACATCTAGAGAGCTGATTTTTGCTGAATTATTCCAATAGTGCTATCCATTGTTGGCTGTCAATTTAGAATGATAAAGTCTTTTGTGATTTACGCTGTACAATATTCTATGATATGTGGATGAATCACAAATTTCATTTCAAACTACAGGAGCATTTCAAAACATGTTTTTCTTATAGAACAATGTTACAGCTGTCCATAATTTTTAATTCCTTATTTCAGCAAAACATTTCAGCGATGTTTTTTATCGTGCAAATCTATTTCTTGGTGTATCTTTGCCGAGTTCGCATTAATCTACTTATGCAATAATATTGGCTGATCTTGTTTTTATTTTTCGCGGGTTTTATTTACAATTTTGCTAAAACAATTGATTGAAATGCTTCCCAATATTTTGCACTTCATAAAGCGACCTTTAAGTCTTCCCATCAAACTGTTAAATTGTCCATTGAAATGATTTTTAAGCGGATGTCAAAGTGAATAAATCTTTTTTACGCAATGTTTCTCATCTGCTTTCAGATTCAAACACATGTAGCCTTCGGTAATGGTGCGGTATCGAAAGCATGTTAATTCAAGAGAACATCTTGGACACATACAGCAACTTTCTCTGTAACTAACCTGACGTGATGGTGGATATTTACGCCAGTTGCGAAAATGTTTGCGAAAATGCTCGCCAAGAGCTTAATGAACGTATTGACACTCGAAGTTTTGACATTGAAGCTTTACGAGATCGGATGTCAGAAAGACCAGACGTCTATTTCGAGAGAAAAGACGATGAATTTCTGCTACAGTTTTTAAGAGCTCGCAAGTTCGACAAAGACAGAGCTTTCAACCTGCTTGTAAACTACTGTAGATTCCGTCGACGTCATAGACAGTTCTTTCGCTCGTTACGAGCATCTTGTTTACGGCCAGTTTTCGAAGATGGACTGCCAATGGTCATGCCGGAACGTGATCATCTGGGTCGTAGCATCGTAATAATGTTCCCAGGGAACTGGAATACGAAGCTGTACACCTTTGACGACATTTTACGATCCTTATTGTTGACAATGGAATATCTGATAGAAAGCGAAAGAACTCAAGTTTGTGGTGTTGTATTTATAGTCGATTTCACCGGATGGAGGCTGTCAGATGCATCGCACCTCAACAAGTCACATTTAATAGATGCCATCAAAGTCTTCCAAGTAAATTATTTTCTTCTGCTGCCAATAATACCTCCATTCCTGTCTAAACAAGCCATATGCTTTGTAGAAATTGTATTCTCGAGTTGCATAAACAATCGAAAGCAAAAGAGGACAAATGACATGCTTTTAGCAATAATATATGTTTGAGGTTACATATTCAAAATCGAATATATTTTGAAGTCGATGATTGAAATACCTGTATATTTTGACATAACGTTTCGGACATACCATTGAACATAGTAGGGAGAGCATGGCATACTAGAGTAATTTTTGTCCTGAAAGTGTCAATGTCGGATGATATCCAAAGGTGAGCAGAAAATTTTATCCAGGCATGGATCGAAAGTAACATGAGAGAAAAAATGGCGGTTGGATTTGTTCCTTATTTTTGTCCAATCGGATAGCCCGTAAAGTGTCATAGGAACACAGTCTTGTATGCATCGAAGATTGTCTCCGAGTGCAGTGAGAAATTTTTCATGATTATTTCTACAATCCTTTGACAATTCCACATCTTCTTTTTTCCCAGGACTGTTTTCCAGCCAGATTCAAAGGAGTCCACTTTGTTAACCAGCCTTGGTATGTGAGATTGCTAATGGCTGTCATCCGACCAATTTTAAAGCAGAAGGCCCAAAATAGAGTGAGTTTTTTTCTTCATTATTGCCTTGCTGTAGGCACTACGTTGCCCAAGGAAGACTTAGTCAATCAACAAGAATACCCTGATACTTGTCAGCTTTTTGTGTTGCCTAGATGACGCTATTGGATTTTCGCTATTTCGCCTATTTGATTTTGCGTTGGTAGGCTACACCCTTCGACCGAACAGTTTTCCAGAAGGGGGATATTGTCCATTCATTTACACCTATTATTTAAATAATATTCCCGATGCAAAAACTTTGGTGAACAAACTAGTGAGTTAAATATAGAATCTTTCCAATGTTTGGCTAATTTGCATAGTAGCAATTCCATTACTCCTATGGCTACAACTCTGCCATAGCATTATTAGATGCAACTGCACTTCATAATGAAATTTTTGCCTTAAAATCTTAAGGGTCCCCCCTGATCATTTACAGATCCATTTCCACGGAAAAGATGTTTTGCGTCTTCACAGCTACGTTCATCCAAGTGTGCTGCCTCCTGACCTGTGTGGCGATCTAAAAGTTTCAGACAAATCTTGGCTTTATAAAGCTTTACTTGACAGAGAAGTGAGCAAACATAAAAGTTGATTGAATTTGGTAGATTGTATTTGGTACTAACTGTCGTGCTTACCTACATTATATAATTCATGCATGTTTATACAAGTTCATTCACCATTATTACTCGCTTTTATCGCTTTTGATTCTGCACGTGCCGTCGCCAAAACAATTGAAAAGTCAAGAGCAGAATTTCAAGACCTAACCATAGAATTTCACTCGAGAGAGAATGCAGCAATGTAAAAGCAATATGCCAGAAGCAGACGTTTCATCTGAAAAGCTTTATATTGTGAATAATTGTAAAGAACTCATTGTCATTCTTCATCAAATCCTTCATTCTAGGATATCATTAGATTTATTTTGGAATTTTCTGAAGGTAATTGTGACGCGAAAAGCAAAAAAAACTGTCTAAGCTATTCATCCCTTCTTCGGGTTTCCTGGAAGGAGACTGCAGAAACGTTGGTGCTAAGCATAGCCAACGTCAAAAGCAGCCTACAATCATGCTCCCTGCTACGTTACCTTTAGTTCAGCGATCGGGTTGGGCAAAGATTTTCCAAGCGGAATTTGATAGTGAGTCAAAAAGTCTTTCCTAAGAAAATATAAAACTTATTTTCAAGATAACCACCACCATATACAGAAACCCTAAAAGTTTGACCCTGGATTACAATGCCTTCACCTGGCGTCATTTGTTCAAAATGCAACTTTGTAACCCTGTCATTTAGCCTCCAGCCGAAACCACCGTTGTTTGAATAGTACAAGAGAATTTACGTGAATATCAAACAAAGAGAAAAGCAAGGATTCCAGACTTTGCAGAAAATGTCAACTTTGCTAGTATTGCGTTTACTTTAAAAACCTATTTGAAAGGAACCATCTTTAGCTCTATGCATTATTTCTGTCTACTGGAGCTAACTCTCTAGATGTTGAGAGCTATGGGCTATTGCAAAGCTATAAAAAGCAGTAAAAACCATGTGTACATAATACGGAGAAAAATATTGCGTCATAAATTAGATACCAAAATAAGCATTATACCAGATTTGCGTTACACACTTAAACAAAGATATCACATATTTTCAAGACAGTTTAGAAATCACCTGCAACGAGCCAAGCCCGAAAGATATGGCGACCATATGCATATGTGTGCAGTTTAGGTAAAAATGGATTGGGCACTAATACCCCTGTTTAAAAGTAGCACTGGCGGCGTCCTTAACAATTTCTATACTCTAATCTCATTTACTACATTTGATTGTCTATACCTGCCACGCCTCGTGTTAATATCTTTTCCGTGAAAGAGTAAAACACAGGGAACTTTGCTTTTACCCCCATCAAAACGTAGAATTGGGGGCATATTTAAGAATTTTCAAACTCTAATCTTATTCAGTGCATCAACAGAGGCGGATCCAGCGGAAAATCTGAGGGGTGCTTAAGGGCGTTGCCTTAATAGCCATAATAATGCCACACCCCATTTTTACTTACGGTTAAATGAAGGCAACACCCATCTTGATAAATTAATCTTTTTTAAATTCATGTATCAAAGCATAACCATATAGAAAATTATCTCTTTTGTTAGAAGCCTATTTGCTAGCAATGCTAGTTGAAAATAACACTGATACCTTCGCAGTTTGTACATCACATTAATCAATGAATGACATTTTAGGTTGTTAGTCAATATTTGATTGCTCTGCAATATTCAGAAGCTGGTTCATTTTTGTAAAAAGGCAGCTAAAATGTTTCAAACAAAAAAAGCAAAATGAATCATTGCTACGTTAACTGACCATTACTATACGAAAATTGACTTAAATATCATCGAGTCGTGATTTTCATAACTGACCTCGTACTGATTGACAAAACAATTTCCATCAATAGCAAGTTGTCAACAACGGATGCAAATATCTCATGAAACAGCAGCGATCACGCCGATTCCAAATGACCCCTATAGAGAAGGCCTATTTAAGCCTGGTTTCCACTGGGCGATTAAATCATGTTTCCACTGGACGATTGTCGCGATAAAAGCGAAAAGTCATTTGAATTTGTCGCTTTTATCGCGATAATCGCCCAGTGGAAACCAGGCTTTACCATGACTCAATGCCTTTAAATCAATACTTGTAAGAATTTGTTGATAAAAATTGATTGTTTTACTAAGTACCTTGTTGAAGTAGTACGTTTTTAGGGTCATCTGCATTTGGCAAGAAATGGGTATCGATTTCATTCTGGTAATAATTACCATACCACCCCAACAACCAAAAATCCTTGGCACCACTTTTTTGGGGGTGCGCATTTTTCTCTGTAAAATTCGATATTTTTGTCAAATTAATCCAAGAAATATTCTGTTAAAACGTTTTGCATTTAAAGCCTGGTAAAGGAAACTACCACCCTGAAAGGCCGAAGGTCAGAACTTCCACGGGACAGTACTTGAACCTTTGGCATTTGCAGTTCAGCGAACTCATCGATCTGTGTATTCCCACAAATCACGACACCATCCACCACGCTCTTATCAAAAATTTCTCTCACGATTGACTGAATACTCAAAAGCTCGTTTTCCGTTTCAATTTCTTCAGTCGACTGGCAACCAATAATCGAGAACACCTGCAACAGCAACGACTTTATGTCCGCCATTGCTGCTACACGAACAGGTTTAGTCGTTTCAGTGACGGTATGCACCAGTGTATATTAAATGATTGATATAGCAGATGATGAGCAGAAATTTGGCAAACGGATTGGTTGAAGCCTTGTTTTGATTGATAGGGGTGCTCGACATTGCGGAAAAACATATCAGATCGTGATGTGATTGGCTCAGTTGCAACTTTGACCTTAGAGGTTGATTGATAGGGGTGCTCAAGCACCCGTAGAATTGAAGTAACTCATTGGCCGAGACTGTGGTTTGATGGACAAGTAAAAGAATTGGTTCCAGGGCAGCTCAACATGAAATTTCTAGCTGTTTATAGTTTAAAGCAGATACAGGCTATGCTAACTAACGCATGACCGTATGTCATCAGTTTACTGGAAAATGCATTTACATCATCTTAAAGGATTCAAGACGTTTTTCAGAGATTAGAGAAAATGCATTGAATGTTATATCTCCGAAAATTCTGACCGGTGCTCAAGCACCC